CAAAAGTACTCCTGCCTCTAGATGAGGCACCGCTGAACTCACCAGAATGACGAGGCCTCTTGTTAGAACCCTGACCTCCCTGAGTAAGAACCATCTCAACTCGTCTGGCGACATTAGCAGCCGCCTGAAAAGAAATCTCACTCCCAGTCTCCTTAGCCATCTGCAATCTGATAGGCTGAGCAAGTCCATCAGTAAACCTCCTCACCCTCTCCCTCTCAGTGGGAAGCAGAAGAATAGCATGACAGGCCAAATCCACAAAACGGGTCTCATACTGAGTAACCGTCATACTGCCATGCTGGAGACGTTTAAACTGACGGCGACGCTCCTCTCTCAATGTGATAGGCAGAAACTTCTCTATAAAGAGCTGAGAGAACTGGTCCCAAGTAAGAGCAGGCGACCCAGCTGGTCTAGTCAACAAGTAATCTCTCCACCATTTCTTGGCGGAATCAGTCATCTAAAATACAGCAAAATCGACCCCATTGGTCTCCACTATACACATGTTCCGTAGAACCTCGTGACAGCTGTCAAGATACTCCTGGGGTTCTCTAAAGGGGCACCACTGAAGTGAACAGGAAAGATCTTGGTAAACCTGTCCAATCTCCATAAAGCCTCAAAAGACATAGCTGGCCTATCTCCGACCTGTGCCGCAATAACCGGCTAAACTAATCCGATTGGCTGAGCTGCTGGAGCCTGATACTGGGGAGCTATCTACTCCGGAGCAGGAGTGGTAGGAGTCTGGGCTCCTCCTCCAGCCTAAGAGACTGCTGGTGCCATAGGAAATGCGCCAGTCTGGCCCACACTCTCCATAAGGCCCACCAAACGGACCAAAGCGTCCTGAAGTACTGGGGTAGCAATGAACCCCTCCGGAAGCTGAGCTGGTCCGACAGGAACAGTCTGGGCTGGAACCTCCTCGACAATCTCTATCTGAGGCTCTACTGCTGGGGCTGCTGCTCGAGCCCTAGGCTGAGCCCTGCCCCTGCCTCGGCCTCTGACATGGCCTCGGCCTCGACCTCTGCCCCACGTAGGAGCTATCACTGGAGGATCTGGATTCTGCTCAGCTGAGAAAGCGGTACGTGTTCTCGCTATCTGTGAGAGAATAAGAGTAGAAGAGTTCAATCAGTGTTGAGAAAGCAAAATCGCACCACAAAGAAGAATAGAAGTGAAACTTGTTCCTAAACTTCATAGCCTCTATAAGATAAGCACATACGTCTCCGTACCGATCCTCCAGACTCTACTAAGCTTGCTCGTGAATCGTGAGACCTATGTAACCTAGGGCTCTGATACCAACTGTCACGACCCAAAATTTCCCACCGACGGGACTGTGATGACGCCTAACATTTCACTTGCCAAGCAAGCCAATGTTAGAAAATTATTAAACCAATTCCTTATTTCCATTCTGTAAATAACAATAAATGACTAAAATGAAATATAATAAGTGTGGAATATCATAAAACTGTATTAATTACTACCACCCGGATCTGGAGTCACAATTCACGAGCATTCTAGAATTTACTACAAGTAATAGTCTGAAAGAAATACAATTGTCTCAATGAAAGAAAACAGTAGGACATAAAAAGATAGACGGGGACTTCAAGGTCTGTGAACGCCGACAGATCTACCTTGAGTCTTCGGACAGCGGACCAATAGCATATCTCTATCAACCTGAGCCGGTATCAAAATCTGCACAGAAAGTGCAGAGTGCAGCATCAATACAACCGACCCCATGTACTGGTAAGTGTCGAGCCTAACCTCGACGAAATAGTGACAAGGCTAAGGCAAGGCACCTACAATCAACCTATACGATTTAACAGTGTATACGCAAATAACAGGAATGAAGAACTAAACAGGAAATGTCGAGAGGGGAGACATACTGAGGGTAATACAAGATAATGAACTATAATAGAATGATCACCAGAGCAGTCAATATACCATGAATCAACAGGAATAGTAAATACAGTAAAGAAAAATGCACGGCATCACCCTTCATGCTTTTAGTCTCAATCTCACCATAAAATTAATAGAAATGGCATGGTGTCACCCTTCGTGCTTTTACTCTCATATCATGACACGACATTACCCTTTGTGCATTAACACTCACAATATGGCACGATATCACCCTTCGTGGATTAACACTCACAATATGGCACGGCATCACCCTTCGTGCATTAACACTCACAATATGGCACGGCATCACCCTTCGTGCATTAACACTCACAATATGGCACGGCATCACCCTTCGTGCATTAACACTCACAATATGGCACGGCATCACCCTTCGTGCATTAACACTCACAATATGGCACGGCATCACCCTTCGTGCATTAACACTCACAATATGGCACGGCATCACCCTTCGTGCATTAACACTCACAATATGGCACGGCATCACCCTTCGTGCATTAACACTCACAATATGGCACGGCATCACCCTTCGTGCATTAACACTCTCCCTTACCATAATGCAATGCATAAATAATAACAGGGAGATAGAATAACAAGTATAAACCTTACTTCAACATTTGGTTCCATAATATCAATCTTAACTTTGAAATAAAAACTTAATTATCACCAGAAAATTCCGTAAACATGATAAGAAAGATAATTTGAACGACACTAGTATAACACGTAGCAATCTGGCATAGGAATGAGACAATATCAGAAAAACAGAGAAACATGGAAAAACAGGTAAATTGGCGGCGCATAGGTACTCGTCACCTCACATATACGCCGCTCACATGAATTTCACTTAGCAAATAATCCAAGGTTCCTAATACCCTCATGTCAGGGTTAGACACAACACTTACCTCGCTCCGAATGCCACTTAATTCTCAATCACAGCTTTTCCTTTGGAATTCACCTCCAAACCACTCGTATCTATACAAAAATGACTCAATAATATCAAATATTGCTAAAGGAATCAATTAAATTGCATAAATTAAATTTTCCCAAATTTTCCTCCAAAACCGGAGGTTCGGACCAAAATCCTTTTACCCATTCACCCCTGAGCCCGAATATGTAATTAGTTTTGGAATCCGACCTCAAATTGAGGTCTAAATCCCCAAATTTCCAAAATTCCTATTTTTTACCCTAACCCCTAATTATACCATGAAAACTCTAGATTTTAGGTTGAAAATTCAAGAAATGTAATGGGTAATTGAAAGAAGATGGTTTAGAATCACTTACCAACAATTTGGGAAAGGAATGACTCTTGAAAAATCGCCCCTCGCCGTTTGGTTTTTGAGAAAAATGAGTTTTTTGGAAAAAATCCCGTTTTGGATTCTGTTAAGTGCTAGGCGACAGTGTTCATCGCGTTCGCGAGAGCACTGTTGCATTCGCGAAGGGTACTGGCTGCCAAACCTTTGTGTTTGCGAGACCCAGCTCGTGTTTGCGATGTTCACTCCCCTCTGGCCTTCGCGTTCGCGAGACATTGCTCACGTTCGCGATGAAAAAAAGGCCGACTCCCCCTCCCCAGTGCCTAACGCTACGCGTTCGCGAAGGGTAACGCCCCTATTGCTTCGCATTCGCGACCAAGCCTTCGCGTTTGCGAAGAAGAAATCCTCAGCTGCCCAGTTTACTCTTCGTGTTCGCGAGAGTACCTTCGCGAACGCGAAGAAGGACATGCCAGAAAACAGATTCTGCAGAAAAACCAGATTTCCAAAGTCCAAAACATCCCGTGGCCTATCCGAAACTCACCCGAGCCCTCGGGGCTCCAAACAAAACATTCACACGAGTCTAAAAATATCATACGAACTTGCTCGCGTGATCCAATTGTCAAAATAACACCTAGAACTCCAAATTTAGCACCAATTCAAATGAAATTCTCAAGAACACTTTAAAACTTCTAATTTCTCAACTGGACGTCCGAATCACGTCAAATCAACTCCATTTCTCACCAAATTTCACAGACATGTCTATAATATCATAATGAACTTGTACCGGGCTCCGGAACCAAAAATATGGACCCGATACTAACAATACCAAATATCAATCAATTCCTAAAAATAAATAATTTATAATCTTTTAATTTTCATCAAAAATTCATAACTCAAGCTAGGGACCTCCAAATTCGATTCCGGGTATACGCCCAGGTCCACTTTAAAACTTCTAATTTCTCAACTGGACGTCCGAATCACGTCAAATCAACTCCATTTCTCACCAAATTTCACAGACATGTCTATAATATCATAATGAACTTGTACCGGGCTCCGGAACCAAAAATATGGACCCGATACTAACAATACCAAATATCAATCAATTCTTAAAAATAAATAATTTATAATCTTTTAATTTTCATCAAAAATTCATAACTCAAGCTAGGGACCTCCAAATTCGATTCCGGGTATACGCCCAGGTCCCATAATTCGATACGGACCTACCGGGACCATCAAAGCACGGATCCGGGCCTGTTTATCAAAAATGTTGACCGAAGTCAACTAAAATTAACTTTTAAGGCAAATGTTTTTATTTTCATTAGTTTTCAACATAAAAGCTTTCCGGAAACCTGCCTGGACTGTGTACGCAAATCGAGGAGGGTAAAAATGAGATTTTTAAGGCTTAAGAGCGCAGATTCGAGTTCTAAAATATAAGATGACCTTTTGGGTCATCACATGTACACACACTAGAGTCTTTAAATATAACATTATCTACTTCCTCACAAGACTCTAGTGTGGTTTCCTCAACATGGACATCATCAATAAAAGTATGGTCGAATGATTGACTCTCCACTTTTAGCTCCTCAATTTGGCGTATAAGCTCATTTTCAGTTTTACACAACTCAAAACTATTTTGTTGGGCATTAGACATAACAACCTTTGCATTCAATTGAGCTTCCAAGTCGTGAATAGTAGTGCCAAATTTTTTGATCTCCTGTCCCAGTTCAGCTCTTCCTTCTATTAAGTCTTTATCCTATCTCTAATTTTCTCACATTGAGCTTCTTATATTTCTAATCATTCAGCTTGTTCCATTAGCCAAGTTTGGCTCAAAATCTCATCTTCTTCAAAAAATTTCTCTTGCTGGAACTCACTCTCTTCTCCAATTTTAAGCTCTTCGTGACTATCAACTAAGGCTGCAACTTGTTGATCATCGAATGTTTCAAACCATTCTTCTACTTTGGCCTTCATTCTCTTCATTGTGACCTTGACATTTTCCATCTCTTTTTGATGTTCATGAGTTTGCTCCATTAAAAATTGAGTTTGCTCCATTATTTGCCTCAACAGGTCCGTAGTCTGAGCATCATATTCCACATTCTCCACTTTGTTCCTATTAAACTCACAACAGTTATTAGAAACATCACAATAAGGGCTCGAATAAGGATAAAAAGAATTAGGACAGTCATCCCAATGGACACCTTGACCGCCACACATATTATAAATATTTCACTCATAAGATTGAGATGGTGCACCGAACTCGCTCTCAGGAATATTTTGATAATTTTTCCACAAGTGGGGTCCTCCACAATATGGACAAGGATCATCATAGTAATAATAACTATCATTCGAACAATTTTCATTCCAAGATGTCATGTGAAAATAAGTTTAAAAAAAGAATACTAACTAAATAAGAAAATTAAAAACTTGAACAAAAATCAACTAAAAGCTAAACTTAGATAAACAATCAATAACTAAGTCCCCAGCAACGACGCCAAAACCTATTGGTTCCCTAAGTACACGCAAGTATATGTGGTCATCAAGTAATAAAGTGACTCGAAAGTCGGATGTCGAACCCACAGAGACTTAGATTAATCGATAACTAAGCAAACTAAAATCAATTAACTGTCCAAGATAATCAAAAATATTTTTTTATCTACTAAACTACTTTTGCAAATATTGAACAAGTAATTAGCTAATTTATCAGGGATGCAAATGTGTGTTTTGGAGTTTACTCAAAGGAGATGAAGATTCCAGGGTTGTGGTCAGTTTATCAATCCTATTAAGTTCAATAACCACACTTGTTAATTCAGATTATTAATGGTTGCTAATTGATCGGATCGTTTATATGAATAGCATGTTCCCACAATACTACTCGCCTATCCACAATATATCAATCCTATATTCCTATGGTATTGAATTTATCATGAACGAATATAATACGATTTTTAACTAAGCAAGACGGTTAGGTATATTCCTATCCTAATCGCGAAATCTTTTCCCGAGCCACGGGTTTAGAAACAAGCTCTCTTTAATTCTACTCTAATCTAAATACGGCTTTCCCAAGCATAGCATAAATAGTAAATAGAACTCCACTGCTGGCCAAATAATTAAGCAATTATGCACAGAATTAGAGAAACAACCAAAGATGATAACTCAAACTAATGGTAATATAATTAATAAACTTCAATTTTCATGACAACCACAACCCTAGAACGCGAAGTTTAGCTCCACATAGACATGGTAGCAAAATAATAATTCATCTAAAGAAACGTGAAGATTACTAAGTTTGATGGAAGAAAGATAGAATCTGATAAATTTCGGCCTCCACGGCGGCTCTGTGTTCTCCCTTGGTCAAAAGTTCTGTAAAAATTGTGTTTAATGACTATTTATAGGTGTAAGGAAAAGCCTAGACGAAATAACCAAGTCCAAAACTAAAAAAGAAACAAAATAACTTTGAAACCCGAACTCGTGCATCAAGGTATGAAACATGTGAACGTCCCGCGTCAGACCTGGCCTCACGACCTTAAACGCGCAAGAATTAGCTCGCATCGCGCCACTGTACGCTAGGATATCTCCTACGTCGTTACTCCAATTTGATTTCTTTTGTTAGTGCTAGTTGCCTAACTTTTCTTTCCAAGCTTCATGCAATCACAACCAAAACTGTTGCTATTCCAGATAAGTTCTCTTATGCTTCTTTTTGTTAGTTTCTCCTTTTGCATGTCTTATCTTTCAACTCCAATTTCTTTGTGCACTTTGCTCTAAATTTTATCTAAAATGTATCTACACATAAAATAACCTCAAATTAAGCGTACATATAATACAATTTAGCATTAAAATACCTAAATGTAAGGTTAGTAATGCACTAAAAATATATAATTATAGCCAAACATCACAAGCTTTCCAAATCACTTCCAATTGACTCCTACACATATAAATATCATTATTAAGCTCGAGTCACAAATATTCACACCAAAATTTACAAGATCGAGGCTTAATGCAAGGCAAATTACATGCAAAAATATGAATTTTTAGCCTAACATCAATTGGGTATTTTTGGAAACTATCGAAAATATTCTTTGGAGTTTATATCTCAGTTTTGAGAATGTTTGGTGAAGATTAAAGTTGATTTTGGATGAATTTTCTGATTATTGAAACTCGAAGATGAAGAAGATATATTAACGTTGTATTATAATTGTATGTAAATTATATTTAAGTTACATTATGTTATAGTTATATTTTTTTTATTTGAATGATGTATGAAAGTTGATAAAATAGTTGTATAATATATGAATCGTTGTATGAAATTTGTATTTAAGTTATAAATACTTTCTTATTACATAAAATTGTTGATATGTATCAAAATTGTATTAAGAGAGAAATTTTTTATTGAAATTTCATAGAAGAAGAAGAACACACCACTTACAAAATATATACAAATAATATATAAAATACATACAAGACATATTTGTATAAAAATTTTATGAAAATTGTATTTACGTTTTATTATATTGCAGTTGTTTTTAGCTGGGTAAAAATGATGTATGAAAGTTATAGATGAGTTATAAATAAGTTGTATACTATATAATTAGTTGTTTAAAACTTATTTTTAGTTTATATGTTGTTGTAGATGTATCAAATTTGAATATTCCTCCATTTAACTTATCTGGTTTAGGTGCTGTCGACCGTCAGTGTCTCTATTGCTTTTGTTTGACGCAACTTTCTGGTTCAAGCTATTAAAATAGTTTTATAACATTTGGTTCTCAATTAAGTCTTGAACTATTTACGTTACTATAGTTCGACATTATTGGAATGGCTATACTACAATTAAGGCATTATTGGAAAGAGGAGAGGAGAGAAGGAAAAAAGTGTAATTGAATCCCATAATTTATAACAACAACAACTCAGTAAAATCTCAGGAGTGGGGTCTGGGGAGGGTAGAGTGTACGCAGATCTTACCCCTACCCCAAGGGAGTATAGAGGTTATTTCTAGTAGACCCTCGTCTTAAGAAGACGAAAAGAGAGATAATATATCAGTACTAACAACATAAAACAATAAAAATAATGACAGCAATGTAAGAACCAGAGAATAGATAAAAAACAACACTAACAACAACCAGAAGATAAGGCCATGCATAATGAAAAATGGGAGAATAGTGTGAGCACAATATTAATCACTAGCAGTCTATGATAAAACCCTATCAGACTAGCCTCACACTTGTATAAAGTAGAAAAATGCTCAACTACCTCCTAACCTATAACCCTAATGCTCGGCCTCCATACCTTCCTATCAAGGGCCATGTCCTCAAAAATCTGAAGTCACACCATGTCCTGTCTGATCACATCTCCCCAATACTTCTTAAGTCGCCATCTACTTCTTATCGTACCCACCAAAACCAACCGCTCACACCTCCTTACCAGGGCATTTGGGTTTCTCCTACGTACGTGCCCGTACCATCTGAGTCTCGCTTCCCACATCTTGACATCCATAGAAGCCACGCCCACCTTCTTCCGAATATCTTCATTCCTAATCTTATCCATCCTAGTGTGCCCGCACATACACATCTGCTACTTTCATCTTATGGATATGTGAGTGCTTAACTGGCAAACACTCAGTCCCATACAACATGGCCGGTCTAGCCATCACTATATAAAACTTATCTTTGAGTAACATAGGTGCTTTCTTGTCACATAGAACTCTAGATGCTAATCTCCATTTCATCCACCCCACCCCAATACGGTGTGTGACATCCTCGTCTATCTCCCCATCTCGCTGGATAACTGACCCAAGATACTTGAAACTGCTTCTCTTTGGGATGACCTATGATCCAAGCTTCACTTCCGTGCCCGCATCCCTCGGCTCCGCGCTGAACTTGCACTCCAAGTATTCCGCCTTAGTCCTGCTCAACTTGAAACCCTTAGACTCAAGGACTTGTCTCCAAATCTCCAACCTCTCGTTAATGCCGCCTCGCGTCTCATCAATTAGAACTATGTCATCAACAAATAACATACACCATGACACCTCCCCTTGAATGTGGCGTGTTAGTGAGTCCATAACCAAGGAAAATAAGAACGGGCTGAGCGCAGATCCTTGGTGTAACCCCCTAATAATTGGGAAATGCTCTGAGTCGCCTCCCATTGTCCTAACCCGAGTCTTAAATCCATTATACATGTCCTTAATCGTCCTAATATAGGCAACCGGCACACCTTTAGCCTCCAGGCATCTCCAAAAAATCTCTCTAGGGATCTTGTCATACGCTTTCTCCAGGTCAATAAACAGCATGTGCAAATCCTTCTTCCTATCCTTGTACTGCTCCACTAACCTCCTAATAAGGTGGATAGCTTTTGTAGTCGAATAACCCGGTATGAACCCGAACTGGTTATTGGATATAGACACCGTCCTCCTCACCCTCACTTCTACCACCTTCTCCCAGACTTTTATGATATGACTTAGTAACTTGATACCCCTATAGTTGTTACAACTTTGTATATCACCTTTGTTCTTGTACAAATGCTCCACATCCATCGTCTTCATCTTGAAAATAATATTAAACAGCCTAGTCAGCCACTCCAAGCCTGCTCTACCCATACACTTTCAAAATTCTACCGGAATATCGTCTGGCTCGGTTGCTCTACCCCTACTCATATTACGCATAGCCCCCACGACCTCCTCGACCTTAATGCGCCCACAGTACCTAAAGTCTCGGTGACTCTCAGAATGCCCCCAATTCATCAAGCACAATGTCCTGATCCCCTTCTTCATTCAGAAGTCTATGAAAGTAAGTCTATCATCTCCTCTAAATTTAATCCTCTCCCATCAATAATCTACTGCCCTCGTCTTTGATGCATCTCACCTGATCCAGATCCCGAGCCTTCCTCTCTCTTGTCTTGGCCAGTCGGAATAACTTTTTCTCCCCGCCTTTGTCCCCCAGTTCCTCGTACATACGGCCAAATGCCGCAGTCTTAACCTCCGTGACTGCCAACTTCGCCTCCTTCCTAGCTACCTTATATCTCTCTCTGCTCGCTCTCCTCTCCTCCTCGCTTGTGCTCCATACTAGCTTCAGGTATGCCACCTTCTTCGCTTCCACTTTACCTTGGACTACTTCATTCTACCACTAGTCACCTTTGTGCCGGCCAGAGCAACCCTTCGAGACCCCTAACACCTCTCTTGCAGTCTCCCTAATACAGTTAGTCGTCGTCGTCTATATAGCGCTCACGTCTCCACTACTCTTTCCAGGCTCCCATAGCCGATAATCTCGCCTCCAACTCTTGGGCTTTATCCTCAGTCAAGGCTCCCACCTGATCCTCGGTTGACCTCATACAAACCTCTTCTTCCTCTTTATCATGATACCGACGTCCATCACTAAGAGCCTATGCTGTGTCGCGAGGGTCTCACCCGATATAACCTTGCAATCCTTGCCCAGGAAAAGATGAGAGGAGAGAAAAAAGGAAAATGGTGCAACTGAATCCCCTAATTTAAGGCACTAATAATAGATTGTATATAAATTGTAAGAAATCCTTGTTTAGGCGGGTAATATACAAAATTAAGATAATTTTGGTAAGTAAGTTTCAAATATTATATATGAACGAAAAAATCTCATATTAGTAGCTTTCCAAATGTTATCCCTGATATTAGTGTTTAGTCACAATTTAAAAAGATATTAAACTTTAGTCGTTCTATTTAATTGCGGGTATATTTTGGACAAAAGTATCCTTAACACATTGAACAACTCCGGTAATCGTTACTAGATTTTAAATATTTTACAAGTAAAACTCCAGCATAATGTAATGAAGTTCAAAAAACTCTCTACATTGAAATTTAAAATTCACGGTACTGTATTTTAGAGCTGTTAAAGGTAAAATTTCTAGCAAACTATACTAAAATTCAAATATTTATAGGTTCAAACCCCCAGTAATAATTACAGGGGTTTGAATCCTTTCACGTTGTTTTCATATATTTGATCGCATTTTCAAATGCATTAGCAACGTTGCCATCGCTCCGACTAAATTGATATTTGCCCCAATTAACAACTCAACAATTGATACTTGAGTTTGAAGCCCCATGAATGATTTTATATCAGCGCCTAAAAGTGGCTACGCCAACATATTTTTTCCCAGAATTCTTTGGAATATTATGGTTGGAGAAGATTGGTTGCCAAAGATTAAAAAAATATGAAAAGAAAATAAAAACAAATTAAGGAAAAAATACAATCAATAGTCTATCTACGACGCCGTTCTATTCCTTCATATTGTAAAATTTCTGAGCCCCATCACTTTATCACTCGCCCTCTCTTTTTTCTCCTCTCAAACAACCAAAGCTCAATGCGTATCTTCAATAGCTCTTCCCACTCTTCCAAGAAGGTAAGAAAACCTTTTTTTCTTATGAGTATCCTCAGTAGCTCTTTTTCTTTTGCTTGTTTTGGTAATACTAAAAAAAGAATGGCAATGGAAGCAGGAGAAGGAGGAAAAAGAATGGTTAGGAGCAAGTTTCAAGGCTGAGAATTTTATACCGGGTATAGTAATTGGTTTCATTCTTGGGTTGTTGTTGGATTTGTCTAAGCCTTCCAAAAATACAACTAACACTTTGAAGAAGACAAGTCATTTGTTGAGCAGAAATCAACCTGAAAAGATTTTGGCCCCACCTAAACCTGATGATGAAGACCTCAAAATGGTTTGCTTTTATTTTCAGTTAAATTTTGGTACTATTTTTTGTTTCTTCATTTAAGGTGGAGGGTTTTTTTTACTTCCATCTGTACATTTTTTGATAATTCTTTGGGGTTTGTAATATGACTTATACTGAAAGGACAAAAATAAATATTAGTAAAACAAGGGAATGCAAAGTGGATTAAAAAAAAAAATAGGCATATGAAAGGATTGATTAGAAATTAGTTTTTAAGAGGATTAGTCACTCCCTTAAAGAAAAAGTAGTACTCCCTCCGTTATGTGAACCTGTTTGACTGGACACGGAGTTTAAGAAAAAATAAAACTTTTGGAATTTGTGGTCCTAAACAATTCAAAAAGGGTCCCAAAGTATTTGTGTGGTTATAAACTAAGTTGTTCGGACTCGGGTGCAGGTGTCCGATACGAGTGCGGATCTAGAGGTCAGATCCTTCATTATCTAAATTTTAAGATTTTGGGATATGGATCCTGATACGGATACGGGTACGGAAATTCGGCTAAAAATAATTCAAATATTTAAAAATAGTGTTATAAAAATATGTCTAACTTATGAGACATTATGTGAAAAACTTATAAGGTATTCCGAGAAGGAGAAAATATTGATCAAGAGGAGAATCCAAGAAGGAGACAAAAGGAAATGTACTAACATAAAAAATTCTATACACAAGGTATTCCATTTTCTTCAATTTCACCCTAGCTTTTATTTTGATTTCATAAATCATAGTATCTGTCCCGAATTTCTCTGTCGATTTTGGTCAAAGTGCCCAAAATCGGTTGACCCACACCCACGTCGTGTCGACACGGGTACGGCATCGAAAGTGAAGAGTCCGAGCAACTTAGGTTATAAAAGCTTCTCATTAAGGGTAGAATTGTAAGTTTAAGCAAAATTATTTCCAAATTTAGAAAGGGGTCATTCTTTTTGGAACGGACCAAAAAGGAAATAAGTTCACATAAACTGGAACGGAGGTAGTAGTATTTATTTCCAAAGTTTGTACAGTAATTTTTTTTGTTAGCATATTCTGGTAACTCTTGCTTTGGTCCTCATATTGCAAAAGCTAACTAGATATGTAAAACCTGTTTGGTGATACAAGTGGAAATCCCTTAGTGATCAGAATGCTGTTTCACTGTATTTTAGTATTAGTTGACTTTTGAGGATATAAATATTCAGGCAAACTCGTTGCTTGTGAATTCTTTCTGCAACAGTGAATTTCCAGGCTCTGGAGATATGTTAATTATTAGATGCCCCTATAAAAATTTGTTGCCTTATTAACTGTTGCCGAGTTGGATGAATCTTCATTTCGTGATGCCTAGCTATAGAGATGCTTCCTTTAGTGTCAAAGTTGTTGCTTAGGCTGCTTGGAAAATTAATAGGGAGCATGTACATTTTTGAGGGGTTGAAAATTGGCATCTTCATCAAACACTTAGCCCGGAAAGTAAATTGAACACAATTTAACTCCTACCTAGTGTTGCTTTTTCTTTTTGACATGTGATTTTGGCTGCCAACTAGTGGGAGTGAGAGATGAGTGGCGCAAAACAAAATTGGCATTCATGAAAATAGTTTTCCTAAACGAGAAACTGAGAAACTACTGTATACTCCTATTTTGTGTTTCCTTATCTTGAAAATGCTGGAATCCAGTTTTCTTTTCCCTTTAATTTGTTTGTGTTGGTACTGTATTCCTTTTTTTTTTTTTAAAGTTACTGTATTGCATATTGAACAGTTTGGTACTTGATCCTCTCTCTCTCTCTCTCTCTCTCTCTCTCTCTCTCTCTCTCTCTCTCTCTCAGTAGGAACCAACCAT